TGATATACCTACGAGTTCTATTTAGAAAACAACCGAACTATATTTTTTTAAACTTTATTATTCATTTTACACATTATTGGTCCTTATCTCCTTCAAGATACTCCCTCCCATTTTTCACATACGGTGTCTTCATTTCGCGAAGCAGTCCTCGATAGCCTCATTGGAAATGACCTTTAAAGTCTGTGATGAATTTGCTTTGATGTCATCAATACTCTGGCGCCCTTTCAGTACTGATTATAATTTCGCAAATAAGAAAAAATCGCAAGTAGTCAAGTCTGACCAGTAAGGAGGATGAGGGAGGATAGTAATCTGATTTTTGTCCAAAAACTGACGAATTGACAAAGGACAAAGCTGAGTGTACGGGCGCAGTATCGTGGTGCAACCATGAGTTATTTCGCCACAGCTCCAGTCTCTTTTTGTGGATTTTTTCATCTTGAGACAAAAATTCAATATTCACAATTTTATTAAAGTCGAAAAAAACAGCCAGTATCATTTTGATATTGGATCGAGACTGACGTGCTGTCTTGGAGCATAGAGATCCTTTACCAATCCATTATGATAATTGAACTTTTGTCTCAATGTCGTATCCGTAAACCTATCATTCGTCTCCCATTATGATTCTTTGATTGTTCAAGGAGATGCCGACCAACGTCTATACGATTTTCTTTTTGTTGTTCGATCATCAAACGAGAAACAAATGTTGCTAGATGTTTAATTTTTAGTCAAAATTTCATGGCATGACCCAATTAACATGCTAACCCCTTCTACAATTTTTCTGACAGTCAATCGGCGATTTGCACACACCAGATCTTTGGCTTTCTGAACGTAGGAGTCATCAGTTGTAGTCGAAAGCCTTCCTGGTCGAGGATCATCCTCAATTGACTGACGACCACTTTTAAATTGTGAAAACCATTCATAACATTGCATACGACCCAGAGCATCATCTCCGTAAGTTTGTTTCACAAGTTGCAAAGTTTCCGCAGTTTCACGCAAAATTTTAGGTTGCATCGTTGTTCCAAAAAATCGCACATTTCAGAAATCATCACTAAAACTTAAACACTTAACACATAAACACGTTGCACTCAAATAATATCACAAAGTCTAGAGCACAATTCAACAAGTTATTTTCTGAACACATCTCGTAATGTCCCAATGTCCCAATTTACGGTGTAAGGACGGTTTGATTGATGTAAATTGATTGTTCGATTTCCTTTATAAGTGGAAAACCTATTCCTGGAAAATTTCAACTTCTCCGGTACTACCAAAAATATATATTTTTTAATCACTGTATAGGATATTTATTGCTTTCAGGGTAAGTACATACATAATATAATCAATTTTGCCTCATAATACCAGGAAGTCGTGCGTAACAATTTTCGTTTCATAGAGAGTTCATGTTATCGCACGGGAAACTAATAGGTTCGTGACAACTACTCGTTAACTTAATAGTAAAAAAAGTAAGTTATGATAAGTATTTAAATTATTGATTCCTAGTGAAATGAATGAAAATTTTGTATGAAATTAAATAAAGCTAATAAATCCAACAAAAACACAAAATATGATTATAATAAAGTAGCAAGTTAAGTTATCTTTTTTTAATTCCTTTACACAGTGGGTCCGCCTCCACCAGGCCGAGCCCGAGGACAATACACAGCTCCACAAAAAAATCGAGAAAATTACCCCTGGAGTCTGACTATGTCTATGATATGTTTTCAAGGTCGCTGAATCGAAATTCGTCCATTTAACCAACAGGATTTTTCATAACCTCAAAAAATAGGTCCCAAAACGCAATAAATTCTCTATCCATTGACAACTCAATCCCAATAATCCCATAACCCTATAACCCCTTAACCCCTTTAAACCCCATAACCTCAAAATGCCATAACCCCAGAATCCCAGAACTCGGTAAGAAAGAGACTATTGCGCGTTGAAGCCCTGAAACACAGTATGTTTGAGCTCAGGGTTGGAAATCGGGGACGAAACCTTGAGGGACGTGTATAGTATGTTATAGGTTTCTTCTATGTAATCTTGGGGGACAGCTATAGTCTAGTATAGGCTCTACGCGCATTTCAATTTCGTCCTTGACTATGGGCGTTCTTCTATAAGAGGTCTATATTCGTTGCCTATATTCTGTAATAACTCCATAACCTGATAACCTCACAACCCAGTAAAGAATAGCCTTATGTACTAACTCTTATGAGTCAAATCTTCGGATATCATTGCTATTCATCTGAGGCAAAACGTAGGTTCTCCCAACGAAAGTCTCGTTCTCACCGGGTTATGGGGTTTCGGAGTTATAGGGTCATTGAAGAATGTGGGTTTAAGCTCAATAAGCATGTATGGCACATACTGTGTTTCAGGGCTTCAACGTGCATAAGTATTTTTCTTACCGGATACTGGAGTTTTGGGATTATGGTGTTTTGAGGTTATGGGGTTAAGGGGTTTAAGGGTTTAAGGGATTGAGGGGTTATGGAGTTATTGGTATTGAGTGGTCAATGGATAGAGATTGATTGCGTATTTGGGCCTATTTTTTGAAATTATGAAAAATCTTGACGTGAAGAGGTTAAATAGACCCCTAATTTGGATTCAGCGACTCCGAAAACATATGACAGATATAGTCAGACTGCAGGGGTAATTTTCTCAATTTTTTTTGTGGAGCGGTTTTATGGGAAGGTCAAATTCCTGGCTACATCTAATTATTTTCGAAATAGAAATAATTCTAATTCAAGTAACCATCCCGACTGTAGCAATCATATGCTCTTATTAATTTTGAACATCCTTTATTTTGACTACCAAGTATTTTCGTACACACACGTTTGGCAAAGCATTTTATTTTCACAAATTATAGCTACCCTTTCGAAATACTACACATTTATAATAATTAAATAACATGTAACTTTTTTAATAACTGAATTTTCATTTACAAGTAAGCCTAAGTCGAACGTAATTTACGGACAAACCTTCTCAATTTGTGGGAAAATATTTTACACAATTTTACAGAAAAAAGTGCTCTTGTCTTGTATTAGATGCAAAAAATGTCTGTTCCATATAGTAGGTAAATCATTTAAATTGATGGTGCATTTATGAAAAATAGCAGTACACATTATTTAAAATGTTATGTGAAAATTTATTAGATATGAAGACAACAGCATAGTATAAAATAAGTTATGGTCTTAGTATTATAGTATAAAAAAAATATAATATAAAAAAACAATATTACAAAGATTTGGAAAAACAGCTTAAAAGATTAAAAGAACACAACATTACAATTAAATTTTGTTGTTCATTTTCCAATTACAAAAAAAAAAACTGTTTTCTACCATTTTTCTAAGAACTCACTATATATGAATCGTACATTTTTACAGCGAAAATTATTATTTTTAACAATCAGTTTTGAATATTTTTATAACCTTCTTTTCAAAATGTCAATAATTGTTTTTATGTCATATTGGGAATGGACTGTATACTTAAAAAAACTGCAACCTATCCATATAATACAAAAGAACCTTTCACTTAAAAATTGTGGCTCTCACTAAAATTTAGAAATTACTTTTTTGTTATTACATCCGCAATGTAATAGAGTAATAGATCCAAATTTTGTTTGATCTCGAATTGTTTGAAGATATCAGGTGAAATATCTTTTAGAGACTCATATTTAAGGATCTATAGCATCCTATAGGGTAATTTTTTCGCCTATGTTCATATAAACATATTATAAACTGTTTGATTTGCTGTTAGTCGTAGAATACGTTGATAAAATATTGCAGGTTAATTTTAGGATACCGTGTATAACAGCTATTTAATTGGTGCTATGGCCTAAGTGAGACCAGGATAATTAGAAAAAAACGTAAATTTGAAAAGATGTATATGCATCTATTAGTTTAGAAAGGGTGTCCTGAAGCGAATGGACCATACTTAACTTAACTTTAGATGAAAATAAACTGTTTAAAATGCAGTTACTTAAGTATAAATTTGCTTCAATAGAAAGTTATCGGCTTTAAAAAAATGTATTTCATTATCTTAAGATAATTTAACTCAGTTACTTTTAAAGATATTTTAATAATATTTAATATAGGAGGGATTTTTGGGGCAGCTAAATATGAATATTAACCAAATTTTTGTTTGTAGAGATTTGGAGAAAGAATTTTTTTTTGGAACGCCACTTTTCACTGAAATTAATGCTTATTACATGTCGCTAAAATGTACGCTTGGTTGGATATATCCATTAGTCCACAACTTTTGAATGGGAAAGTTTGTCTAATTTAAATTAATAAATAAAATTATTTAATTTGCAAGTTTTTCCACGATTGTCCTTAATTGGTGATTACAATAGAAAATTGTATTCAATGTCTAAAGTGTATAAAGTGGCATTTCAAAAATCACCCATACATTTTAGGTGAAATAATAAACTCAAATTCATGTCAACTTAATTAAAATATCTTCAGAAGTTATCTTAAAAAAATAATTTTTTTTAAATGCAATAACATTTTAAGAAAGCAGACTACCCAAGGAAGCTACAGACAAAATATGGCCTATTCGCTTTCGAACACCTACAATAAACTGTATAGGATGTAAATACCTGTATAGAATGAATAAATGAAAGTGGGCACAATAATAGAGTACAAGCGATAATATCCATTAATTATTAAATAAGATAAGACTTCCCCGAATTATTAACCTGGAATAATAAATCAATAGGGCGCCTTTACAGAAGTAAGCAAAGGGAATAAAGGAATTGAATGTTTAATAAATAAACCATCACACTGGCATTGTAACATGTAATCAGCAAAACGATTTAAGTCCTTTAAGCTAATTATAATTCAATTAAAGTAAAAACTTGATCTTAAAACCAATACTTTTTGAAAGAATTGAAGAGTTAGCTGTTTAAAAAATTAGGTACAATAATTCCGAAGAAAAAATATATAAAACATATGTGCGGTATTTTATAAACAATTAAACAGGTAGGTTAAACGAAATAGATACAAAAAAAAAACACTCACCAAACTTCTAATCCTAGATGGAGACTGCGGGGTGGTAGCCCCCTTTAGGGCTCCAGGATTCCTCGGCTCAATTTTGACGTTTTCCGCCCGCCTTGCCACTGCGAAACCGCCGCCGCCATTACTGCCCCTGCAGTGCTCCCCCCTCTCCATCAGCGAGTGACCCCTTTTCAGGACAGCGTTGGTGGTGGATCGACCGGAATGGTTGGTGTCTCTGCTAGTCGGGGCAGTGAATCGACCCGAGTGGTTCGCGTCTCTACTGGAGCCGTAGCTGAATCGACGTGTGGTGTCGCTCTCGCTTTTCAGTTGGAGACTGCCTTGCCTGCGGACGGGGGTGGGACTGGCGGGCACGGGGATCTTGGTCTTGCTGTCTGTTGTATTGGTCTTAGGCGTGGAAGTTGCTGGGGGTGTCTGAGTGAACATGTTGGCGCTCATCTTCATGTACTAGAGTTGGGAGATGGAATTTTTCTAGAAAGAAGATAAACTATGAACGAGGATTTACGGGGTGTAACTTTAATTGGGGACAGATTTTTGGGACTAATAGAATGTGTATCCCACAATAGTAATCTCAGTTTCGGTTATGGTAATAAATACAGGCTGATTCAGAACTTATTAAAAAAAAATCAGCATCAAAATTGGGGCTGACTTTGTTAAAGAATTTTTTGGTCCATTCCTTACAGGACTTGAGAAAAAAATTGATAAAATTAAAAATGGTCTGTTCCACGGATATGCCATCCAATGTCATCTTATGTGTTGTGACTCCCCAAAAAATCCTATGAGAAGTATTCCATTACTCTCCATTCTTTAATTGGTAAAAACCATAGCTAAATACTAAAAGCAGCCAAAACCCTGTATTCAATATATTTCTGCTTGGATTCAGTCCTGAAAATGAGCCGACGCATCATATTAATGGGGCTTGAAGGATACTGTTTTTATCTAAAGACCTCAGTACTTTTAAAATACTAGGACATCATCCTTAACACTAAAAAATTTGCTTGCACAATTGGTAGGCGTTTGCTTGGGTCAAATCTTGGAAATTAGTTATCACATCATATTCGTGTGACTCATTGTATAATTTGGTTGTTCAAAGACTCAATAAATCGTTGCAAAGCTTCAGCTCCGAGTAAACACCAAAAAACCATTCCTAAATCTAAGATTCAGTTAAAATTCTAGATACGGCGGAATAAAATTATAGACTGGAACCGCAAATTTACAGCCCAAAGATAGTGAGATCTACGCTTCATTCACAATAGATAAGTGAGTGGCTCGTGTTTATTTATTTTTGTTTGTAGGCTTCCGTGGCTGTCCTTAATGGTTGAATGATTTCCGGGCTGGTTGCCACGTCGTCGATTTACAACTCTTGACGTTTCGAGAGACATATCGCTCTCTTCTTCAGAAGTTACTCTGAAACTAGAAATCCACTAATCTTGTCACCATTTATATTCGATATGGTCATTGATCCATGACGTTCCGGTGGGTGACTTCGTACGCGTTGTTGATGTTCCAGTGGGTTGCTTTCACGGATGACTATCTTCCATATACCTAGCAGATCCACGCCACCGTCCCTGCTGAGATTGCTTGGATTTTTGTAAACTAATGCTTCTCTGTATAGTCGGGGCTAAAATCTTCTCTCTCACACCACCATGTTGGCTTCACTCAGATCCACTGTGTGTGCCCGTGTCCGCCCTATGCTCTACTACTGCCGATTTTTCCCAGTTGTTATTTTTGAGATGACTTTTGTGTTCTTTTAATCTCGTGTTGATGTGTCTCCTGTTTGTCCTTTGTAGACATTTCCGCAAGAGCAAGGAATACTGTACATACCGGGGCCCTCGAACTGATCGTTGTTGTAGGTCTTTGGAAATGCTACCGCGACCTTCTTTACAGTGCTGAATACTATGTTGATATTCCTTTTCTTCAAAAGACGCTCTATTTTATCGGTACAACCTTTCACGTGAGGTAGATATGTCGTCGCTAAGTACTCCCCTTTCTCAGTCTTTGGCTCGCTGATGATCCACGCCCGATGAATCAAGGTATTTATGATCCCCTGTTTCTGGGCTGGGTGGTGGTGGGACTCCGCATTCTGATATCTGTCTGTGTGTGTTGGCTTCCTATATACGCGATGTCCTAAAGTGCCATCTGGTTTCCTCTCAACCAAAACATTGTGTTTATTTATAATTCCTAAACTATAAATTCCTAACCCAGAGACACAATATAGAGTACGATCTACTCACCACTCACCCAATATTGCAGGCCTATTCTGTTACAATTTTACATCTACTGGGTTTCTTTTTAAATGCGGTATTGTATTCATGGTATATCTGATATCTTTGAAAATTACTATATGATGAAAATATGACGGTTACTATTACAAAAAAGAAAAAAAATCTTCCATACAGATCGTTACAAAATTAAAGAGAATGATACCAAAGAAAAAAAATACTGCAGCCTTTAGATATAGTTGCGGTATCCATGTAGAATTGCAGGTTTACACTACTGATTTTGTCTCCATATGTCTAGGACAAACCTTTGGTATTGTTTCTGAGGGCTGTAAATTCATGGTTTGAGTTGGTAACTTGATCGGCTGATTGCAGAGTTTTTCTGGGTTTCTAGAGGTTGAGGAGTTACAAGGGTTGACTGAGTCTTTTAATACCCCACTATTATGATAGGTACGTCGATTCGTTCCAAGGACTTTATTCAAGGAAACTCCCACGTAGAATTTCAACTCATTTTTAGGTATTAGGGGCGGTTTTCTGATATTTTTACAGTTCTAAGGGGTCGTAAGAGTTGATAGAGTTTGATTACCCCAAATTGGTAATGAGTTTCAGAATATACAGCCTTCGGTATAGTTTTTCACAAAGAAAACTGAATGGGTGATCGAGAATTTCCTATAGCAGTTCGATTTATCGGGAGTCTTGGGTATCATCGTGAGACATACACCTTTATTCGTGGGACTATGTAATTATTGAACGCTACTTAGCTGGGAGATCCAATTTTTCTAAATGTAACGTCTAGATATAAATATGAAAGGGAAATACAGCTTCATTGGGGAAAATTATAGGTTTAAATGTTTTTTTACCATATTATGTGTCACATTTTAAAAATAATTCCGCAAAATTTCATGTTTATATAAAAAAGTCTTTTTAGTGTTTTAAATCGTCAAATAATGCTGCACATCGACTTCAGATCCATTCTTTATATTCGTTTCTAGTTTTCTATAGGACAGTCTGAAAAGAGTTTTAGTAAAAAAAATGTTTCATGATGATCATGTTTACCTTGCATGTTCAGACGTTTAATTTAAACTGGCAATCCGATAAACCGATTACGATACAGTTTATTTTTTATTTTGTTCTCAACTGTGTTATATTTAAATAATTGATGATTCTCCCATGTAAATCATTTATTCCAGCAATACAACAATAAGTGAAAAAGTCTCAAGGTTTGCGGCAACAGTACGCTTATTAAAGTCAGCTTAAAAAACTGTATTGTGATTTTTTTGTGTTATTGTTGTTTTGTGTAGACCAGAAAATATTGGATTTAATTAGTTTTGAGTTCTCTGCTTACGATTTTTGCTGGTATCTGCAAAAAGTATGATGGACAGCGTGCAATAGTTTAAAATTATTAGATTAAATTTAAAATCTTTCTAATCGCATTTTTGCTAGCGCCATTTCCTAGAAATTTGGAGTAACCTCCTAGAGTATTTCTGCCTATTCTCCGGTGTTCGTGGAGGCCACTCAATGCTGCCTCTTCTTCCAATCCAATTCCGTACAAAACGTTAGTCCAAATACTCACGGACAATTAACGCATAATGCGGAGGAGCACCGTCCTGTTAAAAAATCAAATGATCTTCATCATACTCTGGAATATTTTTAATAATATCAGTCAAGGCAGGGTCAATAGCGTCTTCCAGAAATTGCAAATATATTTGGGCAGTCAAATTACCAGGTAGGAAAAAAGGACCCACCAGCCGGTCACCGAAAATTCCAGCCCATACCTACATTTAATTTTTCCGGTTGCTGTGTAATGCACCTCGTGAAAAACTCTTGGGTTTGAATCGGACCCATAGCGGCAATTGTGACGATTTACCGTCCCGTTCAAGAAAAAACTGCATTCATCGGAAAAACAGGTGTTAAAAAGGAACTGTGGATCGTTCCCTGCTCGCTCACTCATTATTTCGCAAAATTGCAAACGGCGGCGGCGGTCAGAATCATCCATATGAAATTCCTGGACTAAATGTATTTTGTATGGATGGAATTTATTCTTCTTCAAAATGGTTTGTATGCTAGTTCGATTGATCCCAGACACAAATGCCAGCTGCCTCGTACTTAATGTAGAATCAAGATGAACTTGTCTCAAAACTGCCACTTCATTAGCTTCATTAACTATAGGTTTTTTAATCTCTGGTTTTTTATTGGCTACGTTCCCTGTCTCTTGAAATTTTTTTACTAACGCTAGAACACACTTCCTCCTGACATGTCGATCTTGATGTTGTTCATTAAATAGCTGAGCTGTTCTATTCGCACATTTATTGTTCATAAAGTAAAGCGAAATGATATCTACCCTTTCCGCAATGGAATAAACCATAGTGTTTAATTTTCAAAAACACAATTAAATAAACTACCAACCAACGCTTCCAAATAATACTAGAAAATAATTTGGAATCCACTAATTTTACGTTCATTGTGTGTGTATAGCATTCATTTCTGTTTTTTACAATTGTGTTTTTTTTACGAAAGTGATAACAAATCGCCAAAAACCAATGTAACGCAAGAAATACTAAATTTATACCATTGGCGTACTTAACTCGAATGACTGACATTTTTACCGTTACTAATTATTTGTACATAAGTTTCAACTTTAAAATCAAAATTCTTAATAAGTATTGGGCGGAATTATAAAATTTAAAGTCTGTTGTAAAGAGCTTTCAAAAGAAATATTATTCAACCCCAATGCCATTTAAATATTTTGGGGAGTGAAAGTGGCGGAGTCAAAAATACCAGCAAAGAATGTCCTCCTTTAATCTAAAATCGACTGGTCTGAGCATTTTTCTACAATCTTGACGCAGTTCCTGAAAATGGCTCTGTTTCGTTTTCATTTGGCCACCTTGTATAATTTCCAGTAAGTAATCTTTTAGATAATGGTTACTGTAACTTTTGCTGCTGACCACAGACTACCTCTTATAGATACTCTGGGAATAGGATGTACAAGGTCCGATAAGTAAGTAATGAGACTGATGTGAAATAAATATCACTAATGTTTTTAGTATGATCTTCTTCAAAATAGTTCCCTTTTGCTTGCACACACTCCAGCGCTTTTGCCACTGTTGTAACTGTTCCTTTCTGGAATTCTTCCTTTGGAACGTCATCTAAGGGATTTGGATATCTTCTGTTGTTTGAAAATGGTATCTCTTGACCGACATTTTGACACTTGGGAATAGACAAAAATCACACGGGGCGATATCCGGCTCAATG